TTGTGTGAATCTTGGACGAAAATCACTAAGGTACTTTTTTACAGTTAAGACAACCACCTAAATAAATTCACACGAAATCGGTGATTGTCTGTTATTCATAGCATTGCATACAAAGCGCTTCAGTTCATTTGTTCAGAGCAATGATGAAGCAACCCCTCTCTTTCACTGTTGGCTTCATTTTTGACACCTGTAGCAGTGCGACGTAATGGTTTTCAGCACTCTCCAAACTACATAACTCCAGAGTACGATGTGAGGTACTAGCAGAAGAATAGTCATGAATACTTTGGCAGTATTCTCTGTCTCCGGCGAATGAACAGTTCCTGCAGCCAACAAACTAACAAGGACTAGAAGTCCAACTGTTAGGATATTAGAATTTCTGTCTTTGTAAGGTTGTTGCCATATGCAGAAAAAGGCAATCACACCAACAATGATGGCCACGGTATATGCAAATATGAATGTTTTTTTTGGTGGATCGTAAATTATGGATATGATGGAAATTAGCAGGCCGAGAAAAGGGCAAGAAAGAAGTAGTCCCCAGCCACACAATGATCGATAATCTCGAGTTCCATTTGTACCATCTTTGAAACAACCATTAAAAGTTTCCACGTATGTTTTGATTCTTAGCCTCCACTTTGGACTGATGCAGTGACTGATCTTCCTGTACAGTGAGGTGGGGTAGACCACTAGGATGAGGAGAGGTGGAAGAAAGACAAACACTGCCACTGCCACTGAAAATGCCATTAACAAGACATGTTTATTGGAGCCAAAAGGAACATTTGGATCAATGTATAGTAGTCTTATGTGTTGCTCTCCTTTGTTACCTCTTACGTTGCTCCATTCAAATGCCTGCCAGAAAAGATAACTGAGCCTGGCATATGACAAATAGAACAGTGAGGCAAAGGATTGAATCATGGATGATCTTGGGTCCCAGGCTCTGTAAAACTGCACATAAACTCTGCTGAACACCCTCCACAATGCTACAATAGGTCTGATGTTCTTTTTATGCATTTCCATGACTCCGTAAGACAACAGTAATATAAAGAAAGGAAACATCGTTGCCAGGAATTCAAGGAATAGTATGTGGAACTCTTGTATGTGTTGTGATATGCAAAGATGGGGAGAAATGAACAGCAGAGCATCAAAGCTCCATACAGCACTGAGCGTAACAGCTGTTTTAATTAGGCTCGTGACAGCACTCTGTCTTTTGATGAATAGCCAAAAGCTCGCTCTGCAATAGATCACTGACAAATTACAGAAGAGTACATAGTTGGCCATTGGTGCGGAGGTGATATTTGGCCTGAAAATGATAACCAACAGAGATATCAAAGTCGAAGGCAGGTATTGGAGAAGTATGTAGTACACAACATTTATGGGACTACATGAAACACATGCAACTCCAACAGAATATACAGAAGGCCCAGTATCATTGATACATCTTCCACAGGAAGGACTTTTCACCTCTCGACTGAGATTTCCACACACGATACTATTTAACTCGTTGACATTAGCTGGGAGGGCAAACATTCCATTACTTGTTGCATGCTGTGGAAAGATGAACGGACACCAAAAACTTGTAACCATGTCCTCTTTGGAGTCGTAGAAAGTACAATGTCCTTGTAGCAATGAAGACACCTGGTTTCTTTGATCACAATGTATGCCTAGATGCAGTTTTCTGGCACAGGCACAATAACCCGAGGAGTCTGAGGTATTCACCCAATCGAACAATGGAGGACACTCATTCACTCCATCTACAGGCATAATGGCTGTAGCGGTAGTCATTAGCAAGATTAAGTAAATTCCAGCCATGTTCCGTCTATCAGCGCAGCAAGTGTTACTGCTCTTTTTCATCAAGGCTTTTAAATTGTTTCATCTGTTATTATTGAAATTGCAAGTTTCTATATATGACATAAAACAGTTGTTGGTTTTCTCTATACCTGCCGTGGTGTTTGTAATAACCTGCAGGGATTTGTAGCATGTAGCCCTTTCATAAAACATGCCTTACATGGCATTACTATATACTTACTCAATGGTATATAATATACAAGTGGAAAAATCATTTCTTCAAAATGAAGGGGGATGTAGGGATGGTGTGAATTATGAAAAAGGATGCCAACAAGAAGATGCTTCAGCCGACAACAAAAATCATACATCCATCCCTATATACATCTTTCTTTCTTTTGCTCTGTCTAAGAATGTGTAGCTAGGCACTCGTTATTGGGAGTAGCTAGGTATATTATTATAAAACACAGTTGAGGTTGTGAGTTAAAGAAAGATGTAGGGATGGATGTATGCTTTTTTTTGTCGGCTGAAGCATCTTCTTGTTGGCATCCTTTTTCATAATTCACGCCATCCCTACATTCCCCTTCATTTTGAAGAAAAGATTTTTCCACATGTTCCACTTATTTTTAGCCTACACTGAGCCCCACCCATTAAGCGGAGCAGAGCGGCAACCGAGGAGCAGCAGGGTTCACACCCATGTGTGTGGAGATTTATGCACTGCAGATTTGTGTGATTTGAAGATTTGATCTCACACACACTCGCAGTGCATTATGGGGGCAGGGGGCGATGTCCGTAACGTTGTTTGCAATTTTGCATGATTCTTGCATGAGAGACTAGTGGGCGCATGCTCAAGTATAAAACTAACCCAACATTCATTGTACAATATGCTTTGTTGTGAATTGTGAAGGAAAGTTTTTTCTTTAGGAGAGGTCTATTCCAGCTGAAGTGAAAGGTGTAGAGGCCAAATCAGGGGTATATAGCTAGTATATAGCAAGCAGGCAGTAGGAGCCAGAAGTTTGCAGGGTTCAGTGTCTAGCTTGAGAGTGCAGTTGCAGTCCAACCCCCATATAGACAGAATATATAGATAGTATGCACCATCAAAGCATAATACAGAGGAGTAGACAGATAATGTATGAGTAGGCTTACAATAGGAATTGGTAGTGCAACAAAGGCTAGGTCAGAAGTGGTATATATAAGGGTGCAGGAATGTATATACAAGTCAGCAGTGGTGATAAGGGGTAGGAAAACACTTCAGAGCCCCACCTGCCCAGCAACTCCCAGATAATCTTATAAGTATAGGTTAACACCTGGTTCTGAAGCTGTACAGGCATATCCCGAAGCTGTTTACTCTAGCACCAGGGGGTAGAGTAAACAGCTTAGGGATATGCCTGTACAGCTTCAGAACCAGGTGTTAACCTATACTTATAAGATTATCTGGGAGTTGCTGGGCAGGTGGGGCTCTGAAGTGTTTTCCTACCCTTATCACCACTGCTGACTTGTATATACATTCCTGCACCCTTATATATACCACTTCTGACCTAGCCTTTGTTGCACTACCAATTCCTATTGTAAGCCTACTCATACATTGTCTGTCTACTCCTCTGTATTATGCTTTGTTTCACTTGATGGTGCATACTATCTATATATTCTGTCTATATAGGGGTTGGACTGCAACTGCACTCTCAAGCTAGACCCTGAACCCTGCAAACTTCTGGCTCCTACTGCCTGCTTGCTACTAGCTATATACCCCTGATTTGGCCTCTACACCTTTCACTTCAGCTGGAATAGACCTCTCCTAAAGAAAAAACTTTCCTTCACAATTCACAACAAAGCATATTGTACAATGAATGTTGGGTTAGTTTTATACTTGCGCATGCGCCCACTAGTCTCTCATGCAAGAATCATGCAAAATTGCAAACAACGTTACGGACATCGCCCCTGCCCCCATAATGCACTGCGAGTGTGTGTGAGATCAAATCTTCAAATCACACAAATCTGCAGTGCATAAATCTCCACACACACACACGGGTGTGAACCCTGCTGCTCCTCGCTCGCCGCTCTGCTCCGCTTAAAGGGTGGGGCTCAGTGTAGGCTAAAAATAAGTGGAACAGTGGAAAAATCATTTCTTCAAAATGAAGGGGGATGTAGGGATGGCGTGAATTATGAAAAAGGATGCCAACAAGAAGATGCTTCAGCCGACAACAAAAATCATACATCCATCCCTACATCTTTCTTTAACTCACAACCTCAACTGTGTTTTATAATATTATACCTAGCTACTCCCAATAACGAGTGCCTAGCTACACATTCTTAGACAGAGCAAAAGAAAGAAAGATGTAGGGATGGATGTATGATTTTTGTTGTCGGCTGAAGCATCTTCTTGTTGGCATCCTTTTTCATAATTCACGCCATCCCTACATCCCCCTTCATTTTGAAGAAATGATTTTTCCACTTGTATATTATATACCATTGAGTAAGTATATAGTAATGCCATGTAAGGCATGTTTTATGAAAGGGCTACATGCTACAAATCCCTGCAGGTTTTACAAACACCACGGGCCAGGTATAGAGGAAAACCAACACTGTTGTATGTCATATATAGAACTTGCAATTTCAATATAACAGATGAAACAATTTAAAAGCTTGATGAAAAAGAGCAGTAACACTTGGTCGCGCTGACATAGACGAACATGGCTGAATTTACTTAATCTTGCGAATGACTACCGCTACAGCCATGTTTATGCCTGTAGATGGAG